TTATGTACACACCCCTAACAAGTGAATCGTCCAATTTTCCACGAAATTAAACTTATAGAAAGCAGATATTAAAAACTTACTGTAAATTATGTACACTCCAGGGAAGGTACACACCCCTACTGTAAATTAAACTTATAGAAAACAGGTATTAAAAACTTACTTTTTTGACAAAGCTTCGCTAACCAATTTTCCACGGAAGGGACAACAACAACGTATTAGGGACAAGTTAGAGAAAGAGAGTAAAATGGTAAAAAAGAAAAAAATTTGGGGTATTTATAGGTTGTAGGTGATCTCGCTTGAATTAGGCGTCACTGGTCACGCCTGGATTAGGCGTGACCTTTGCCGCCTAATCTGGTTGTGACACAATGCAATACACATGTAATTATTTTCAAAACAATAATAAATTCGTAATTTTTAATATTAAAAATACAATAAATTAATTTTTTTTGCCATTTCCAAATGTGATTTTATTTAATCCATTAGAAATAACTAGTGGTAAAGAATTTGAATAATTTACACAAAATTATAGGTTGAAACATCAATAAATAAAGGTTCGGTTTCATAATGCCACATCAAGCTTACTGAGTTAATGACTAAATCCGAAACTCCCATTGATCATCTTGTTTACACATTTCCTACTGCAAAATTCAAGTCACTTGCACTTTTTCCTTTTCAAAGTTCTGATGTATCAGGTTGGTTCTTCTTGATGTCTGAACCAGTCTTCTTTCTTTTGGTTCTAGGTTTCCCAATAGAGTCTTGCCTGTTAGAAGTTGTAGGTGGATCATCCATGGACTCATCAGCCAAATCAGATCTGTTAATTGCAGAAGTATCCACAGATTTGACAGCAGATTTTACAGATTCACATTTGGAGATGCTGGCAGAAGCTCCTCTACCCCTACTGATCCATTACAAAATTTTAATAATGATTCAAATTAAACAACACTTGCTAAACCCAAATATTTTGCCTGACATGCAGACTAACCTTGATCGAGAATTGTTATTTGCATCCTTGACCAACTCCAACTCGGGTTGTGTTGAATGTTTGTTTGACAACTATGACCTCAAAATGCAGATACACCAAAAAAAAAAGGGAAGGTACATGAAATAATTATCTGCTTGACTTGTTCATTTGTTATTGGCTTTAATGTTTCTAAAAATGAATGTAGATAAGTTATCTACATTCGCTTCCAAAATGACGTCGTTTTGAGTTGAAAAATTAAAAAATTATAATTAAAGACTATTATAACCCTGACATAAATTATAATTACAAAATTATCTTGATTTCTGTCTCAAAACGATATCGTTTTGTGCTCACGGTAGATAAGTTATCGACATTGATTTTGTAGAAAAAGCGAACCCTTTGTTATTTCACCCAAATTATTTTCTTTTTGACATAATTGACCCTTTTGCTTATAAGCCTGCTTGAGGGCATATTTTGTACAGAGGTAAATGTGAACTATTATTTGGGCTTAATTGATATATTGAAGGTTTAACACTTCCTTATGAGATATTCTTTTCTCTTTCTCTTTTTCCCCCTCCACCTTCATACCGTTTTTATTTCAAGTATGTAGCAAGATTAAGGATACTAATCAAACTTTAATTTTCCTGATCTCAAAAGTGTCTAAGCCTAAGTCCATTGCTCAATTTCTATCATTTACTTAGCTCTAAAATGAGGAGAGTCTCCTCTCACCCGAAACTTTTTTCATAAAAAAGGTTGGACAAATATAGAAAACTTATTGTTTAAATTGTATTAGTTCAATTTGCATTTACACAATTATGCATTAATTCAATTTGCATGTTTACACGTTTTATATGATCACAGTTATTATGTTTTCTAGTTATTAGTAATTATATAATCAAAGAATTAAAATTAACATGAAGATGAAAATATACATGGCATATGGTTCCATGATTTTAATTTATTATTACAACTCAAGCACCTCATTAAATTGACATTGTAATTAAAAAATATTACAAGCATAGTACACCTGTATTTATCTTGTTTGTTAACTAAAAAATAATAGTAATGAAATGTTAATGTAATACTATAATTTTTTTTATAAACCTAAATTACTTGTTTAGTAAAATCTTTCTATATTTTTTTGAGTTTATTTATTTACAAAATGGGTATATAGAAGTAGCCTATAGAATCACCAGGAGCATTTAGTATTGAGCCTAATTCTAGGCTAGGTGACTGAACCCCTTTAATGTTAGGACTCATTGAAAGAGCATATCTTATAAGCCCAAAGAAAAAAAAACTACAGCAAGATGGTCATACTATGTAAAGTGGTGCCTACATTTCGAAAATATTTTTAGTGCGACCGTCACACTGAATACACAGTACGATAGTTCTATTATAATTATGTAATTTAGGAAGTATATAGTTATAATATTAAAGTTATTTTTCTTTTTTCAGAATCTTATCAACTGATATGGACAGAGAAAGAAAAAAGCAACTTTAATATTATGACTATGCACTTCCAAAATACATAATTATAATAATATCATTGCATTGAGTATTAGGTGCGCTATCATTCAACCATATCTTACATGAAGTTTGTGAGACTATTTTGTTACAATATTATTATAATTCATAAGTGCTTCTTAAAAAATCTCAATAATTGTCATCCATTTGGATCATACAGCATAGTGTCTGTTTGGATCTTCTTCTTTTTTAAGTTAGAAGCTACTTATAAGCATAAGCGAAGTCAAACAGATTTTGGAAAAAACTCTTATAATAAAATTTCTTTTTTTTTATAATGAAGAAAAAAACTGAAAACTAAAAGCTCATAGGAGGAGCTTTTTTTTAAGCTCTTATCTTTTTTTCTTGAATTGTGTGCTTTTTTTTTTTAAATGAAGAGTGATAAAGATAGAGAGAGATAATTTTCTTGAAACGTGTGCTTTTAAATAATTTTTAAGCTAAAATTTTTATGTAATTTCTAAACAACTTTTAGTTTCTTTTAAGCTCTTTTTTTAGTTTTAGCTTATAAGTAGCTTCTAACTTAAAAATAAAAGGATCCAAACAGGCTCATAGCCTCATGTGATATGTGCTTGATTATATGACATTTTGTGTTAATTTTTTCACATGTTTAGAAAATAGATAGAAGTATTTCCAAATGTGATTTTATTTAATCCATTAGAAATAACTAGTGATAAAGAATTTGAATAATTTATTCGAAATTATAAGTTGAAGCATCAAGAAATAAAGATTGGGTTTCATAATGCCACATCAGGCTGACTTAGTTAATGTCTAAATCTAAAACTCCCATTGATCATAATCTTTTTCCTTTCATCCCAGGTCCACTGTAATTTTATTGTGTTGAATGTCAGTTTGACAGCTGGAACCTCAAAATGCAGATAGATACACAAAAAAAGGGAAGGTACATGAAATGATTATCTGCTTGATTTGTTCATTTGTTATTGGGCTTGTAATTTCTCATGTTGCATGAGAAATATAAATTTTTCTACAGATAGAGAAAAGAGTGGGGTCCACCTTAAAGAAAAAAATATAAAATGAAAAAGTGATTGGCACGGATATCAAAGTGAGAGTGGTAGGAGATGAGATTTCTTACGCAACATGAGAAATTTTTTTTCTTTTGTTATTTCACCCAAATTTTTTGTTGTTGACATAATTGACCCTTTTGCTGCTTATAAGCCTGCATGAGTGCAGGTAAAGGGGAACTATCATTTGGGCTTAATTGATATATTGAAGGTTTAATTTAACACTTCATTATGAGATTTTTTTTTCTCTCTCTCTATTTTTTTCCCTCTCCACCTTCGTACTGATTTGATTTGTATACTTCATAATATCAGATTGAAATTTCTTGTTTATATAATTGGGAATGGATCCACTTACCACAAAAAATGTTTACAACTCTTACAACTAATTTAATCACCGTTGATTTCCGTCAATCTAACAGTTATAATCTATTGGAAATTAATAAATGTGACACAATAAATGTTATTAATTCCCAATAAATTATAACCATTAGATCGACGGTGATTAAATTGATTGTAAGAGTTGTAAATTTTTTTGGTGGTAAGTGAATCCTCCCTCTATATAATTAGTGATTATAAATTTTAAATAAGTAAATTGGGATTGATCTCTCAAACTATTGACAAATTCTTATTATACCCTTTACATATTACTTTACAGTCAACCTCTCTTTAAGCTCAAAAAAAAAAAAAAAAAACTACTTTTTCAAGTGAAAATGTGGAACCTTTTCATTTTGAGCCGCGCACTGTGAAAGACACACACGACGAATCCTTGTAGCACACTGACAGACACACACCAAATACCAAAAACCAAGTTTTGCTAGTGAGTTGAGTATTAGTGACACATAGTGCTGTGCAACACTACGACACAAAGAATTGCATTCTCTCTTGTAAAAAAAATAGTCATGTTATTTGATCATGTTAAAAAATTATATATTTTTATCTTTCTTATCTCATCGTCAATAAGTGATTATGATCAAATAACATAACCACACGACTATTCACATAAGAGGATCCACTTCCGCAACACAAGAGTTCATTTCAAAAAAAAAAAATATATATCAAATGAACAAGGGTATATCGGTAATTGCAGGGAGGGTGATGACCAAAACTGAGTTCATCAGCAATGCCCCTCAACGCTGCATTAAAGCACCAATGAGAGAAAAAAGGAAAGGATCCTTTGGGGAGTTTTCTTTTTAAGGTAACCAAATAAAAGGGAAAACAATAAAAAATAAAATCCTAGTACACTGTTTGGCAGATTTCAAACCCAGAAACTGAAGGGTATTAAAAAAAACATAGGGGGGGAATCAGAAACTGATTTTTATGTATTTGCTTGCATGTCCAACACTTTGCCAAAAACCCCTGAATTCAGCTGTGCTGAGTTGTTTGCATTGACAGGGTTAGGGCTATAAATTGCAAAGTTTGCAGTGTGAATGTGCCAACTTTCTGGAAAGAAAATGACATCTCCCAATGAGGCTGAGTATTTGATTGAGAGGGATACAGGAAAGAAGCTTAGACATGTGGGAAGGAATTTACTCAAATACCTGCCTTCAGTTGATAAGCTTCTTGAAGTACTTGATGTAATGCCCCCTCTTGCCTTTCATCTATTTTGCATATCTGTCTGTAAATGAATATTTTTCTGGTGGATTTTTTTTGTCATCATGAATTCCATTGTGTTTTCTGAATTGATCATGAATTTCTATCAGTTTGGATGATCATCTGTTGAACATGTTTGGTATTGGTTTGAGTTTCTTATGTTTGGTGTAGATATATGTTTTCCTTACAATTTTCTTTTTCATTTTTTTTTTCTGTAATACAATTGTTTGTCATGATATTTGGCATTCCTAACCTCAAATGGGTTGGCACACCCAAAATTTGAATAGTTTCCACAGAAATTCTGTAGATTTTTTTTTTTTTTTTTTAAATTATGAGTGTGATGGTTTTCAAGGTCTAATCCGTCTTCCACTTTTTCTATGGCATTCAAGTTTTCATTTTTCTTGAATTTTCTGACTTGGAGTCTCTTTGGGTCTCAGGGGTTCAGTTCATTTGTCTAATTTGTTGTATTCCTGCAAATCCTTTTTCCAATTTCTGACTCATTGGTTGAATAGAGTGACTGTCCATCTTGAGAAGCCCCTTTGGAAGTCCAAAACCTCCTTTAAGGTCAAGTCTTTTATTTGGACTGCGGTGCTTAATGCTTAATAGAATTAATACTAACGAAATGTTGGAGGTTCTTTGCATAACTAAAACTAAATAAGACTTTTCAAGTAAGGGTAGCACTTGGGCGCTTCCCAGATTCCCTTGGGGGTCTATTTTGCCCTACGGCTGGATATCTGGGATGCCACACCTAAGTGCTTCACCATGAGGAGGTGAACACATTGGCAAGAGCAAGGCAAAAGACGGCGCCTTGCAAAGGGAGCTAACCTCCCCTTGCACTAGTGAACTACACTTTCAGTGTATTGGCAGGATTTTAAGTAAAGGAGACCCCACCAAGGATTCACCACCTTGACAAAATGGTTACTCGGGCTCTCTGTGGCAATAAGCAACAAGGGCACATAATGCCCATTGTCCACTGAAACGGACAAAATCACAAATTTGACCATCACTCAAGACTTATCACAATCAACCTGTAGCAATTGCCAAATGCAGCCATTAACCCAGTACAAGGAAGCCCACACTTCTGTTCAGCTTGGCTCACTTGCTGGTTAGAGACCAAACTTGCATAATTACATGGTAGGGCACCCTTCACCAGAGAGCAATGTCCTAGGAATTCCTTTTGGACCCCTATAAAAACCTTTCCCTGAGCAATGAAGGCAACACACTTCCAAACCAGAACCTTAAAATCCCATTTACTCCCTACTGATATGCAAAGGAATGGGGCAGCTTTGCTCCAGATGTTTTCTCTTTTTCTTTCTTGTTTTATTTTCTGTTTTTCATTATGGAGGATCCCTTTTCCTCCAAATTCCTTGTAATTTTCTTCTCTTTGGTCTGATGAATTCCTTCTATCAAGTGGAATATCTGGTTAACTCTTCTCCAGTAACAGCATAAATTAGGAGTTTTCCCCATGTATTTCAGGGCTTCTTCTGAATTTTGGAACTCATTTAAACAACCTTGTTACAACAGGCTTCTGAGCCTGATTGAACTCTGACTTTCTTCTTCTTCTTCTTATAATTATTATTATTATTTTGGTTTTCTAACTTTTAGGAACTGGAGCTGGTATTATCAACTGTGGATCAAGCACCAACTAAGTCAATTCAAGAATCACTGGTACCATCAATGAAGGCATTGATTTCTGATGAACTTTTGAGGCACACAGATGAGGATGTTAAGATTTTGGTTACATCTTGCATTACTGAGATTACAAGAATTACAGCGCCAGATGCCCCTTATGATGATGAACATATGAAGGTGATCATTTTAGTTTGGTTTAATTGTCATTTTTATTCCAGTATACTGTATACTATAAATGATGTTAATGCTTTTTTTTAATCATATTTTTCTTGTTCGAATTATACATAGAAAGAATTTCATTTCATGGTAAACAGGAAATTTTCAAGCTCATAGTGGCAGCTTTTGAGAAATTGTCTCTCGCATCTGGTCGTAGCTATGAAAAAGCACTTACCATACTTGAAAATGTTTCGAAGACTAGATTATGCTTGGTCATGCTGGACCTGGAGTGTGATGACCTGGTTATTGAGATGTTTAAGCATTTCTTGAGCATTATAAGGTTAGGGCCTTGGCAATATATCTTTTATCTGTTTCTTTGTGTTCCAAACTTGCCTGGGTGAAATTTAATACCTCTCTTTGGGTTTTTCTTTTTTTCTAATTATTTGTTTAATAAATGTACACCATCTCTATAGAATTCCTACACCCGACTTTGAGGTTTCCTTTCTATTTCTTCTAATTGGATATTTGAGCTCTGTTTAAGATAGTTGACATTTAAAAAGTTTTGCAATTTTGGTGAAACTTATTGAAGTTGATCACATAACTAGAAGATCATGTTGTTGTTGTAATCATGTGTCAGTTTTTCTGTATACTATCCTTGTTATCATTGAGAACATGTGTTAGACACCCTCCTATTACTGCGGTGTAAGGGTAGCAGGGGATTGGGTGCTCACGTGGGTAATGAGGAAAATAGGAGAGATAATCGTTATGGATATTTGAAATGTAACAAATAGAATCAGTTGGAATGAAAGTGATCAGAGGAATGGAGGAGGGATAGGATAGGAGTAAGCAAGTTTCGAGTGTGAGGAGGAAAGGGAAGAAGAAGACCCATTGAACCTGAAGTGTTTTTTTGTGTCTCCGCTAGATGTAAAAGTCTTCACAAGCTGTTATCAGATGAAGGCTCATGAATTATTTTTATCTAACAGCCTATTTTCTTTCCTGTTTTGGTGAGTGTTTTGTGTCAGTTCTTGTACAAATCTCCCTCTGATACTAATATCACTTTTAATATCAGTGGAAGAGAAGAGATTTTAGTAAATATTTTCAATGAAACAGTGCTCTATTTTCCAGTTTCATATCAACTTACTTGAGAGGTGCTTATGAAGGTGAAGTCACTTTCTTATCAATTCTTTCATGTGTTTAACATATCAATAGTGAAGCAGTGCAGCCAAGGAAATCAGGGTTTTCTTTGTATTTTCCTTTTGCAAATGAATATGACTAGTAGATGAAGCTTTGGCAAATTTTTTTTTTTTTTTTTTTTTTTTTGTATTTGTATTAAGCAAGTTGTTTTATCTTAAACTAATTAATGCTAATGAAAAAGTAGATTGCTTTTTCTTTCTTTCTTTTCCCACTCAGTTTTCATTCACTTCTGTAGTGACTAATACTTAAGGTATTATTTACTCAATTTAAAGGTCAAACCATCCCCAAAATGTAGCTCATTCAATGGAATCAATAATGAGCTTAATCTTGAATGAAAGTGAAGAAATTTCAGCAGATCTTCTGAGGCCTTTATTATGTAGTGTAAGAAAGGAATTTCAGGTAACATACTTTGCACTATATCAATATTCTTTTCTTTTCATCTCTTTTATTTATTTATTTGTTTTGGTTATTTGTTATTTCTTGTCCTTTTATTTAACTTTGTCAATCTGGTGTATTTTATTTTCCTAGACTATTTCTCCTTGTTCTTGGACACTGGGGGAGAAAGTAATTAACAACTGTGCTGTTAGGCTAAAGCCTAATCTAATGAAAGAGATGGAGTCCTCTGGCAGAGCTCTCAATGAGTATGCACAGATAGTAACTTCTATTTGCCAGAACGATTCTGAAACTCCCCAATGTGATCATTCGGATGGTTCTGAGAAGGCGGTGGTACGTTTTACTTGTCCTATGTGATACTCATCAGATAAACTGGTATAGATAACATGTGATATTCTTGATCTTAATTTTGCTGCATGTTGGAAACCATGCAACAAATTTAACTGACCTGCAAAATCTCTAGAACCTTGACTGTTGCTATTGTTTCATTTGTATGTTTTCTAAATGAACCACCTCTAAATTAATTGTTTTTTGGAAAGCAAAGGATGCTCAATGCTTTATTAAAGATAGAACAACCGAGAAAAATTAGGTAATGTAAAAGGGCAAACCCTAGAGCACAAATACTCTCTGACTTTGTGAAAATAAAGGTAAGGGTCGATTGTACAGAGTCTTACCCTTGCATTTATTTTGCAAAGAGGCTGTTTCCAAGACTCAAATTTGTGACCTTTCAGTCACAAATATGCAATCTTACCACTTGCTCCAAGGCTCACCTTTTAAGTAAAATAAATTAATGTAAGGAATAAGAAATTAGGTAACGGAAGTCAGAGTGAAGCATGATCAGGATTTTAATTTTTAATTTTAATTTTTTTTCAAATAACCAATTTGTAATATGTTTGTGGTTATATGTGTTTTAAATCATAAGCATACTGGTTCTCCTTCTTGAAACAAGCCCAAAAAAGCATATGCCTACTAAAACTCCATTAGGAAAAAAACAACTACCGACCATGTCACTTGTGCACCAGTTATTATTCAAAGAGGAACTTCTGATCAAATTCCAGCAGAGAAAAATAATCAGGTCCTGTTTGGTTGGTAATATACCAGTAATTTATCGTCAAATTATTCCAAAATTATGATGCTCACTTGAGCCATTTCCATATGTACAAGATTTGCAAATAGTTCGAGGAAATCATGCTTGGTTTATAATCTCTAATGTTAGGAAATTGGGAAAATAAGGAAATAATACAAATCAATTAATAATTATTTAAAGCATATACAGTCCCTAAGTAGGAGATACTGCAAATATTTCCCTAAATGAGAGATACTTTCCAACTCCATATTTCATAATGGTGAGAAAAGTTCTGTTATTGGGAATGGGGGCATATGAATGGTGCTTGTTTTTTACACGACCTTTTGTTGCATTGATATCTTTGTATTTGTGTTGTTATTTACAACAAGCTGTTACTTGGTTTGAGGATTTGCAAGATTGAAGTTAGGATGGTTGTGTTGCAATGCTTCAGGTTCATTTAGTTGAAAACAAGCTTGATGTGCCTAAAGATGCAAATGAACAACCCTGTGAGGTAAATTATCTTTATCTTTCTTATCAAGTTATTGGATTACCAAATTTTCTTTACAATTGCAACACTTGCTTTATTAAAGTACCAGTCTATATTAATACAATATTGAACATTTAACTGCATTCTTCATCAGGAGACCAAGCGGCTTGAATCAGATATTGCCTGTGTGAGAGATGCCCAAATTATGGATGATACAAAATCAAACATAAGAAGTGCCCGTGCTTCTGCTAAGGACGGTGAAGCTATAAAACAGTCTGGTTCAAAAAGGAAATTGCATTCTGATCTTACTAAGAACTCCAAAAGAAGCAATGCAAAAACCAATTCAGAAACTGGCAATTTAGAGTCTGTTGGGGAACCAAAGTCAGAAACTCAGTTGAATACTGTGCCAAGGAAGAGGGGCCGTAAGCCTAATTCTTTAATGAATGAAGAGGAAGGCTACGATCACTCGTGGATTTTGGGAGGAACAAAAACTGGAAAATCAGCTCTATCCAGAAAGGCTTGCGATAGCAACTCTGCTTTTTCACCTTCTGAAAACCCTACCTCCAAAAAGGATAAGTTGCAGTCAAAGCCTAAAACTGTAAGTGAAGCTCTAATTTCAGAGCCGAAAAATGAGAGCATTGCGAAACCTGCTCAATACAGAAAGACTCGTGATATGGGCAGTGATTTTCCACATTACAAAAAACCTGCTTCCCTCAAGGATAATGTTCTGTCAAAGCCTGAAGATATGAGCAAAGGTTGTGAAGATTCAATTTCTAAACCTAGAACTGATGCGAATGCTGATGCTTCTCCTCCTTTTACAAATCATAACTCTCCTGATGGAAGCTACCCCAAAAGAGGCCGGCCAAGGAAAATAACTAGCACTGGGAGTCAAGATATTGATCCCATTCCTGTTTCAACATTAAAGGAAGACCATTTGAATCCTCTGCTTGAGGGATTGGAATCTCCTGGTGTTAGGTTGGAAAAGGAATCTGAAGTAAGGAAGGATTCTGAAGTAAAACCTCAGGCACCCATTAGGAAAATCACTGTAAAGTTTGATGGGAAAACTGCCGTGGCTAAAATGGAATCTAAGTTCTCTTGTGAAGATGAGGGAAAACACAAGTCAGCTATGAATATTGATGTAGAAAATAGAGATGAGGGCAGGTCCTCAGCTCAAAAAGAAGTTAAAAAAAGGAGGAGACTTGATGCTACTCCTAATAAAGGTCACAAAAAATCATCTGATATGAAGGTATAGCAAGTATCTTTTTACAATCTTCCTGGACAACCCACAATATATTTGTAAAACCTCACATATTTTATCTTTTGTGGCCATGTTGTCTCCACTTTATAGGAGCTGATTTCAGAGTCTGCAAGTAAAACATTAAGTGGAGTTGAGGAAACCCCACGAGCAAGGCTGAAGAGAAGCCGCATCGCTGTGAGTGTTGAGGTATGCATTTTAAATCTAACAGAGTCATTGAAATTTCAGTTTTTTTCCTATGTAATCCTTGAGATGGCTCATTTTCTTCAATTTTAATATGATCTGGTATTATTTTTCGGTTTACCCTGAAGGTCCTTAAAATGTGGCACTGCCTTAAGATTATCTGCAAATTGTAATAACATGTTGATATGCCTTGGGAAGGCTAATGGAGGAATTATTGCCTTCATATTGCTGCTTTTGATTTTTTCGATTAAAATTTGTATCTGTTTAAACAATCTCTGTCTGTCCGTCTCTCTCTCTCTCTCTGTGTGTGTGTGTGTGTGTGTGTGTGTGTTCATGTGTATGTTTAACCGCTGTCCAGTGTAAAGATTTTTACCCTAGTCTCCATACTATTACTTAATGACAGCGGTCCAAACGAACAATATTTGACACAAGATTTTTACCCTAGTCTCCATACTATTATTTTTCAGGCTTTTGACAGAGTAGTTTGAATTAGAATCTTGGAACTTTCCCCTTCTGTTTATTTGTCCTCCTAATTTTTTTCCTATTAAAATTTTCTCTCACTAAACTAAATTTTGCTGTATTTTTTTTTTCTTCAGCCATCTGAAACTAGCAATCATGGTAACTCATTGATTGGTAGTAGAGTAAAAGTTTGGTGGCCCTTGGATAAGATGTAAGTATTTTAGTAGCACTATTTTATAATCTATTTCTATCTCTGCATTCCTTTGCTGCCAATTTTTAAGTAAGTATACTATGAACTTGGCTACATTAGGCCATATGATGCTGTGGGTTCATGCTTATGAACTATGGGTTTAAGACAAATGATTATATTTAGGAGAAACAATGCTATAAATCACAGTTAGGTTCTGAATTATGGACACACACAAAAGGAGGATGCAGGTCTACTATGTGCCATGTCATAGGGAACTAATGATATTGATCTTTTTATGATGAATAATTCCTCTGTCAACAGAGTTCTCGTTCGCAATGATTTTTTTATTTTTTTATTTTTTTTGGGTTGGCATGGTTTGAAAAAAATTAATTTCAAAGTTTTATTATTGACATACTCTTTGGATTCTCAGACTTTGAAATCACTTTCCCTACTGTCTTACAAGCTCTTTGAGTAGGCTTACAAGATAGTTGCATATGATTCTGAAAGTAGATCGGATGCTCTTCTTGTCATCTACCATCTCTTTTCTCTAGGTTCGCCCATTGGATTGTGTTAGAACATTTGAATTAAGAAACAAGCTTTGTGATTTAGATAAAGAATTTGAATCAGGTCGTTTTTAACTTGAGCTTTGGAGCTAAATGCTATGTTGTAGAAGTTTTTTCCTTTAAAGGTATCAGTTGATTGTTATTTAATATATTCCCTAAACCAGCTAGATGTTTATCTTGTTTCAGGTATGTGTGTTTGTTTTGATATGCCTTTTGCTTGCTTTATTTTATCCAGTAATTTGTGTGTGTAATTTTTTTCTTCAGGTTTTATGAAGGTGTTATCCATTCTTATGATCCTGTTAAAGGAAAGCACAAGGTGATATGGCTGTTACTGATCTTTGTTTTCCTTATTTGTAGGATTCGTTCATGCATCTTTGCAAATGGAAGCTTTATATATTTCCTCTTATTTATTTGGAACATATAATGTGTGTTGTTGTTTAAACCAAACCAACGTGACATACTGATTGAACATATTCTAATCTCTGTTTAACAATCAGTAGCATTGACTCTGATAGTATCCTTGCAGCATATGACCTTTTAAACCATTCTGATTTTTAGTGTTACTTATCCTGAAATAAGGTTTATCTTTCATTTCTGGGATTTGCAATAATACAAAGTACCCTTAGTTTAAGACTTAAACTGTTGAAGAACATGGATTTTTATTAATTAATATGCCTGTGTTTCCTCGTGAAAAGCCTAATATTTCCTTTTGATGGCTTCCCAAATTTAGTAATTAGTTTGTAAGTTAGGTGAATACAGAAGCGCTGGAATTTAAAACCTCCTGATACTGTACTGTGATAACTTTCTGGTGACTAGAAAGAAAAATGTCATACTCATAATCTCAATTTTTTCACACGCTTCCCGTGCATAATGATAGTGTGAGTGAGGGTAACACTTGTCAACTTGAAAATCATAAACTATTGGATAACTTAGATGATTATGTTTATGATACGCATCTAGGTGGAAAGGATTATTTGAATAAGAAAAGTAACACGTGGAAGGTCTATATGAGAAGACCCAAAAAGGGTGGAGGCTCAAGTAGTTAGTTAATTAGTTCAGAATGTTAGTTAACTGATGAGAGGGTCTGGGGATATAAATAGGAGTTTTTTACGGGAATAAAGGGAGGAGAATATTGTAAAGGCTGAGAAAAAAGCTGAGAAAAAAGCTGAGAGAGAGAGGGAGAGTGCTCCCTGGTTCTTGATAGTCTTTGTAAAGCTTCGAATAATTCCATTGTATTACTGAGTTGGGAAACAGCAATAAAACTTTGACAACATTTCCTTATACTGTTCTATGTTCTTAGTTGAGATTCTGAATTGTGATTTCTGAAGTCGGAACAGTTTATTAATTTTTTGAATGACTTTTCAATAGATTTTGTATGCTGATGGTGATGTGGAAGTGTTAAACCTTCAAAAACAGCGCTGGGAACTAATTAGTGTTGATGATTCCCCAAATGAGGTGAGTATATAGCTTCGGTGCATATTTAATTGTTGCTCTCTCTCTCTCTATATATATATATATTGATATTATGATATTCTGCTACCAGGAAGAAGGACTTGCGCTTCAGAAGCTCGCAGAGGCATCAGACATGTAAGTAAAATTGGTCTGAAGGACAATAATGCCTAATATTACTGGCATTATACAATTTTTTATTCTTTGTGAACCAAGAGCAAACCTTGATTATTGCTGATGTGCTACATGAGCACTCTACTCACAATGATGCAAATACTGCGTTGGGCCTTTATCAGTTATCTATGAAAGGATTAGGCATTTATTTGTCAAAGGGTAACTTGTATGATAAAATTGGCTTGAGTCCATTGTCATGATAGATATGCTTTCTCGTTTCAATCATTATGTTTTGCTTCTGCAAGAGCAAGATCCATCAAGGTTTAGCTCTTTATCCGGGTGTTGCATGTGGTGTGAGCCCTCAAATCTCGAGTCACAACTCAATGTAAACGTGTAAGAAATCTCATTAGAGTGAAGGACCACTCTTGTTTTGCCCAAATATTTATACCTTTGGCAAACAATAAATAGTTCTACTATATCCAATTAGTCTAGCATAATAAAGAGTTCATTTGTTGTGCCTTTTATTAGCCCAAATAACCGGTTTTTAGTTTTAGTATATTCTCTGCACCAGTGTCTCTACTCATTGTGACTGTATTATGGAAGTACCTCAATTAGACATTCTAGATGCTTTGAAATTTTGTTATTGATGCAGCAATGTTCTCGTTATTTTTTTTCAACGTTCCTGGCTAGTACCGCCAAGCCAGTCTCAAGTGAAAGGACCTCGATATAGAAGTTTGTTTTTTTATTGTTATTTTAAATCCAATTATCTTGAATTTCATACCAATAGCAGGCCTTTTCATCTTATAGGATTGCTAAACCTTGAAGTTTGTCTTCAATTAAATGCTATGCATCTTTTTTTGTTTTTTTGCTATTAATCCTTATCTGTTTTATTAAGCTTATACTGTCAAGTTATTCATAATGTGCAGAGCAGAAAAAAGCAAAGAAAAACCCAAGTTGGAGTTGGTCAAGGATGCAAATAACAATTCTCGATCAAGGTTAGTCTGCATGTTAGGCAAAATATTTGGGTTTAGCAAGTGTTTAATTTGGATCATTATTAAAATTTTGTAATGGATCAGTAGGGGTAGAGGAGCTTCTGCCAGCATCTCCAGATCTGAATCTGTAAAATCTGCAGTCAAATCTGTGGATACTTCTTCAATTAACAGATCTGATTTGGCTGATGAGTCCATGGATGATCCACCTACAACTTGTAACAGGCAAGACTCTACTGGGAAACCTAGAACCAAAAGAAAGAAGACTGGTTCAGACATCAAGAGGAACCAACCTGATACATGAGAACTTTGAAAAGGAAAAAGTGCAAGTGGCTTGAATTTTGCAGTAGGAAATGTGTCAACAAGATGACCAAAGGAGTATAGGAAGGTTACTAGTTACTATAAAGCTGGCACTAGAGCTAGTAACTTCGGCTTTACCATAGGGATTATCAGTCTAGTCTGTTTCTCTTTTAGTATGGTTTGATATTTTGTGGTGTCTTAAGACTATTTATTACAGCAGAAGGGTTTGGTTCACACCCTTTTTTGAAACTTGGTTTTTTGTATATAATGATTTCATGGATTTGCGGTAGAAGGGTTTGTTTCATTCCTTTCTGTGTTGGCAAGGACGCACTGGTGCAGCCACTTGGTAGGCACTGATTGATTTTCAAAAATACTACATATTTTCTTAAAAAATTATAGTATGACTTTGGTATTGGTTAGGATTTTAAAAATAATAACTGGATTTTACTAGTTGGATCTTTTGACATTGACTGAGTTTTTTTTCTTGGCTCTGCCACTTGGCAAGGCTAGTATTTCTTGAATAGCAAAGAGGATGACTTCTATGCAGGTCAGCTCTAATACTCACTTCATTGGGTGATTTTTTTTAATTTCATGTTTCAGAAGTACTTAACTTTTTGTAACAAATGGTGTCAAAAAGTATGTTAAGTCTTTGCTAATAGAAGTTTTGAACAAAATGTGTTTAGACCTTGGTTTAAGCTCATTACATAAAATATGCAATTCATATGCAATTTTGTTAAATAAACATGTGACGTGTGCATCACGGGGTCTCAAATTCATGGTTGAGTCAGCACAGCACTACTTTGAACAGAAGAGCGTGGAATGAATTTATCAATTTAATGACACGCTGATTTTGGTTGGGGGGTTTGTTTTTATTGACGTCGGTTTAAGTCAAAAGGCTGAAAAATATTACTCGCCAATTATTTTGAAAACAAATGCTAGTTTCCCATTACTTTGAAAACAAACCTTTTGATTTCCACAGACAAAAAAAAAAAAAAAAAACGTTTTGATTGGGTTGGGGTTGTTGTTGGGTGTTGACTTTATGCTTGAATGTGTTGAATGTGAAGAATGTCTTTCTTGTTAAAATCGAGATCTTAAGTAAGATTGGAAGGAGATTAAAAAATCGAACCGTAAAATCATAATGTAAAAAAATTGTGAAAACATTTGAAATATTAGTAAAATCATTTTGATAAAAAAATTATAAAAATGTAAAATCATAGTAATAAATTGAGATTTTTTTTTTTTTATAACAATAAATCGAGATTTTAACAACAATATACGGTTCATGCAACATCGCAAGCACCGTATTTTCTTTAGAACATGACTGCCGCAGAATCTATAAACTAGGATTCCTTTCCTACCTCAACCTCCCCTTTTTCTATTGTAAATATTGCAAATCCGTTGTGATGGTCAATCCATGCCCTACATTTCAGGAAATTATAGACAGATTTTGCTTGACTAATTTGTCTACATAATGGAGAAAAATGGCAAGTCTTAGTTATGTTTGCACATCCCATCACTTTAATTATCATACATAAATAGGGATAAGTTATTTTATCTATATTTTATTCATGCTTACCTTGCCAACCAATCTTCAATATCATTATATCAGAATCGCAAGAGAAGAAAGGAATTATAAAGATTAGTTGATATTATGATCTAACGATTTTAGAGAGTGGTAGACAAGGTAAGCATTAAAATAAGGGAGATAGAATAACTTATTGCACATAAATGTATAGATTCTACTTTAATTTTGATTTACATTTTATTCTATTATTCAATCATATAATTTTTTATCATTAAAAATGTTTTACTATTTTTACAATTATTATTACATATGATTGCATGCTAGTTTACACAACTTAAAAAGTATCTTGTAAATTTAGGTAAAATTTAAAAGAAAAAATATTTAAGAAGATATTTAAAATTATAAGAAAAGCATGCATACTTAATTAAAGGACTCAAAAAGTAAAGATTGAAAAATTAACATTTAAAAAATATACCTAATTAATTTAAAATTTTTAAATTTGAAATTAAAATAAAATAAGAATGACATGTGTCAGTTATTCTTTAAGGGAGAATAGAATAAATTATTGAATTGCTCTCAAGTTTAATTTTATGTTTAAGATTGGAGCAGCTGAGATTTGTAAAAAAAAAAAAAATGGAGGAAATTTTAATTTAAAAAATAAATTTAAAAAGAATTAATTTGAGAGTAAAATTTAAAATGTGGGAAGGAAATGAAATTTCAATATGAAAATAAAAATTCAAAAGTAGTTATTTTAAGAATATAAGTAATTAAGATCTAAAAATATTAACGTAAAAAGAGACTACTAAAATAGTCAATAGTTTAAGAAGGGAAAACTTCAGTTTCACCCATTGTGATTACCTATGTTGCACCAACATCGATAACATTCCGACACGTTAATTCTAAAAAATATTAAATTTCGACACGTTAGGACACGTTTTGATATTATATATATATATATATATATATATATATATATATATATTTTGGAATAAAGATATTATATAATATTTTTAATTTATGTAATGTATATTATATTTAATATTCAATAATTTAACAAAAAAATAAAGTTAAACTTATAATACCCATCAATTTTGCAAAGAAACATAAGATATCTCAAATATTTATATTAAACTCAATAAAATGGTAATCGTAATCTAACGAATCTAATAGTTGGAACTCTAAATGCAATGTAACGTAACCTTTGAACCTTTTTTGAGTCTTTGCAACGAGTATTGGAGTGTCGGACACAACACGTAAGGATTTTTGAAGTGTCAATGCTTCATAGTTACAACTAGAGGTGTTAATAGGTCGGGCTAAACTGTGCTTTGGTCTTGAAAGGCTAAGCCTGTGTTTAAATATGTCAGACTGATGTAGTATTTAACCTGTTACGAATATAGTTATTGGACTGTGGCCTTAATTATTTACAAAAAATAAAAGGTTGACTTAGTCTGTTAAAAAAAAATAAGACAACAAAAATTTATCCAAACATAAAATACGATCAATAACACTAATAATTCTATAAAGATTCATAAATTTCATGTATATACAAATAACATAATATAGAACAAAATCATTCAAAAAGTCTATTTAATCAATAAACTAAAATAGTACAAAATCTTGCATATCCAATTAAAGCCTTTCTCCATTGCTATGGTTGTGCTACTCTGGTATGGATTCCAACAGTGTAGAGAGAGAGACAAAGAGAGGAGATGAAATGAAGTGAGGGAGAGAGAATAAAATGATGATGGACCACATAGAGGGATGGACCATTGGAAATAACGCAACAACCCAAATGATGCTAAATAGCGTCCTTATAATTTTTTTTTTCGGTACATAACGTCCTTATAATTTCAATCCCTAGGTAACGTTGTTGTTATATTTTTCTCTCTACAATTTTTTCTTTTTTAAAACCAGTGTATATAATTGAACCTTACTAAATATTAGATTAATACTAGTTTCACGAAAACACATACAAAGTTGGAATACTGGTATACACGTAATTAAAAATGTATTTTTAGGGAGGTGTATTTGATTAAGATTTTAAAGATTTTAATGGATTATTTTTGAACAACAAAATCCATTGGATTAAAATTTTAAAGGATTGTAAATTAAAAAAAATCATGTGATATTCTATTTGGACTTTAAAAAATTATTTTAGAGTCCGTGTCCAAATATGATAGTATTCAATCTTATGGTATTCAAAAATCTGACGATTTTAACGGATTTTCTATTAATGAGTATTTTATGAGACCTTTTAGTGAGAAATATAAATAAACATGTCTCTCTCACAATCTCACCCTAATCCCTGAGATTTTTCTATTCTAGTGTCTCAGAACCTATCCTAGCATTTTTTCAAAGTCAAGGTATGTTCTTTTTTTGGAGGTTAAGTTAAGGTATGTTCTTTTTTTACTCTCATATTTTCTTTGGTTTTGATTTCTCTTTATACTATTCTTCTTTATAATTAATTGATGATTTATGGTTGTACTTGTCGTCTCTAATGATGTGTTCTACTTTACTTTTTTTGATATATTTATCATAGCATTGTTAATACGTTGATGATAAACATGTTTAATACACAATATATTGTCGATAAAAATTTCTCAAGACTTTTTATGCATCATATTAGGCACACAATGAAAGACAAATTTTGATTTGGAATTAATGTATGTTCTTAGTGGATGGGAGGATTCAACTCATGATTCCAAGCTACTAAGTGATGCTTTTATAAGAGGAATAGACTTGAAGTTCCCCAAGATAAGTATTTATTTTTTTAGTTTTTATACTAATTAATTTTATGTATTACATATATATATATATATATATATCATTAGCTAAATATTTTCTAGTGGGTTGTGGAAATTCCAATTGATGCCAATTTTTACTTCCATTTCGAGGTATACCATATCATCTATTAGATTTTCCAATCATAATAATGACCCTTAAAATGCAAATGAACTATTTAATCTTAATCATTTTTAGTGATCAATGCCTCCTTTTTCATTTAAAACACGAGCAGAATGTGCTCAAAGAATATGGGAGATGCTGCTTCATTGAGAGTGGCAGTGGCGGACCTAGAAAAAGGAATTCATGTCCGACATTAAGTGGCGGGGGTTCGGGGGCAGTGCTCTGAAATTTTTTTTGATATAACTTTCATGTGGAGGAGTTGACTTATCAATGCAAGAACATTCCCACCAAAACCAGCCTACCCAGACATGTCATAAGCAACCCAGTGATTTTGCAGACAAATACTTAGCAACCCTTGACCAAGAATGTTGAAAAAGAAAGAAAAACAAATAGGATAAATAGCAATTCTAGGCAGATAGAAACATAAACTAGTAAAAAATGATGTATAAAATAAATGTTATCAGTGAAGCAAGTATGATAGTGAAGCTATGTCCAATGATTGTTGAGTTGAGCGATTGTAGTGTGCAAACTCAGAACAAAAATCAAGTCATCATATCTCTTCAGTTACTACCTGAAAAATAGTATACATAAGAATTACTAATATTTAATCTCAACACATAAAGGTATTTAATATCTGCATTGGCAAAATTAACAATGACTAACCTCCATGAAAAGCTGGTACACTGAGATGGAGGAAAATGCAAAAAAGTCCCAAAGTGGTCAAACCATCTACATACTGTTATGCTCCTTAGGATTAGCCAATTCATCTGCTTCCTACCAATTCTCTAAGGTGGTGTTTGGTTGGGTGGATTTTGAAATAACCCCATGTAAATGAAGTTGGCATTCCTCAAAGCATGCGTTTGGTTGAGAGTGAATTGGGTGAATACCCAGGCAAGGTTGATGCCTACCATTCTCATTTTTGTGCCATTTTCCTATGCTTCCACACTGTTTAGAATCCATTTTAGAAGGTGGCTTTTTAAAGAAACCCAGCTAAACCACGTAAGGCCCACAACATATGAGACCACAATACCCTCCGATATTATATGTCCGTGGGCTTTGCCGTCGACCAAGGAAACAATCTCTTGTTGGGGTCTCTTCCCATTTAAGAGAACCTTTGCTTAAAAAATGGACTCTCTCTTTCCTCTCTCTCTCTCACACACACATTCAGCTTCTGCCTTGTTTGCTGTCAAGATTCGGTCATACTCTGTAGTATTTAACTTTGCTCGTCTAGAAACCTTTCTTTTCTTTCTTATTAAAGCCAAGAAACTTGGTTACATTTCAGTGTGAGTTGGTCCTCACAAGTGGGGCCTCTTCTCTTTACTTTTCTGGGAAATTTTCATACAACTCTCGGGCTAACTATGACTTATTGGATTTAGCAATCAGCTATTGAGTAGTGATGATGGGCGTGAACCAAGGGTCCGAGCGTTGAACTGAGAAGCAGAAGCAGAGGAGACTTTGGTGATGGGGTGGTGCTTTTGTTTTAAAAGAGGGATATTTTCGTAATTGCTACTTATTTTTCCATCTATATTTTATCTCAAACCAAACACAGACTTTATAAATCTTACCTAATTTGCCCGGTAAATTTTTTTTAACCAAACAACTTTTTTTACATTTTCCTACCAAACTCATTTTTCAATTACATTTTTCTAGTATTCAAAATATTTCTCCTCAACCAAACGCCACCTAGTGGGATTGATGTCCACTTTTCTCCTCCCTACGTCTAGAGATATTTTGCAAGGGCCCTATAAACATGCGAGTTCTAAACTAGTAGTACTAGAGCAATATCGAGAATTATACCAAAAAAAGGAGTAATATCAAGAAATGTTAGGCACACGTGCAGATTTTTGTGAATCAATCTCATAAAATATCTCAAAAGAGCATGTTAATTATTAATCAACTTACCTATATTTTTTTGAACCCCAGCCCGATAGTCCAGCTGCTTCGGTGAGAGCAGCCTTCCACCTCTGCACTAACGAGGGTTTCCCCTTCAACAAAGGGTGTCCCCTTTAACAAATCTAAATCCCTCTATTTCTACCCTCCTACTATTTAAACTAAGCCCCTGCCCTTTGAACTATAACCCCTCTATTTCTTTTTTTCTTTTTTTACTTCGTAAGTAATTCTATAACTTCCTAACTTCCTTATCCTATCAAAGCTGAACAAATATTTAAGGAGATCTTCTTGTCTTTCGCAATTAATTCTATAATCACACCTAATTAATTTTATATTTACTTCAGAGGAAGCTCTCTGTACACACGAACAAAAAGTTACAGTGAAAGTAGATAATAAAACATTGGATTTGGAGATTTAGAATAACTATAGCAGAGACGTTCACAAGAAAAAGATATTCTAACAAAACCTAAAAGGCAAGAAAAGATGAATTACATGTTTCAATTTCAGAAAATCCTTTTACACTTGATGCAGCTTATTGATCCTCTCGTCAGGGGACGACACTAAAGGTTGACTTGTCTTTCGACTCTTTCCGATTGGCACCCTTGGCATTGTCCTTCTGAATATACTGACAATCAACACCAATTTTCATTTAAGTGACAACCCATTGTCTTTCTGCAAGCATAAATAGAAGTAAGAAAAGAGAAATATAAAGGGTTTTGTTACATTTGGTGCCAGGTAAAAAAAAGTTGAAAAACTGAACATGTACAAAAATAAAAATAAAAATGGAAAACTGAATATGAAACTAACCTCTTTAACAAGGAAAGGAACGTGGGAGAGAGAAGGTGAGAAGAAGGGGAAAGTCTTTGAAGTTGTAGTTGAGACTAAGAAGGTATTTCTCTTGATTCATTGTCTTGCAGCAGAAAGAGAGAGAACGGGAGAGGTAGCGTGTAGGATGTTGCAAACTCAAAAAAAATTTAAAGATTTTTTGTTCAAATTTTTGTGTCGTGCGGACACGTGAGCCTAAGTGAGTCTGCCTCTGGAGAGTGGCACCAAAAAATGTAACCTCTTTTTTTATATATATATATATATATATATATATATAGGGGCAGGATATTCTTACACCGGTGTAAGAGTTAGAAGTCTTACACTCCATCTTGACCATTGATTCACTTGTATCCAATGGCTCACATTACTAAAAAATCTGAGCCATTAGATATAAGTGGGATTAACGGACAAGATTAAGAGTGTAACTTACACTGGTGTAAAATGATCCAAACTCATATATATATATATATTGCTTTGTGCCACTCTCAATAAAGCATCATCTCCCATATTGTTTGAGCACATATATCTCTGTCATCTCTTTAGTCCTTCCCAAAATTTTCTCTCATAATCTAAATATTCTCTGTTTCTTTACCAATTAAGAAGGAACATACGGAACCATTGAATATGCCTGCTGACAATTCTTCAGTTTCTGGCCAAACCGTGTGTGTCACTGGCGCTGGTGGGTTCATAGCTTCTTGGCTCGTCAAAGTTCTCTTAGAGAAAGGCTACACTGTCAAAGGAACCGTGAGAAACCCAGGCATGCTATTATTGCCAGCTATACATATATATATATATATATATATATATGCTCATTAATTACATATGATATGACATCTTTCGCTTGCATGTTAAATTTGCTGTGTTTAAGGTTGTTTAATTAGCTGAGATTTATGTTATTTTCTGACATGGGCATGCGTGGATTCATCAGATGATCCGAAGAATGGTCACTTGAAAGAGTTAGAAGGAGCGAGGGAGAGGCTAACTCTGCATAAAGTTGATCTCATTGATGTTGAGTCTATCAAAGCTGTTGTTAATGGTTGCCATGGTGTCTTCCACACGGCCTCACCTGTCACTGATAACCCTGTGAGCTTTCTATCTCTTTCTTTCTTTTTCTTTTTCCTCTCTCTTTCACGTTTTGTAATTGATGATCATGACTCATGAGTGTGTTTTCTCTATCAGTTTTCCACGGATTGATTGCTGTAAAGTCTAAAGTGCTGTAAAATGTAACTTACTACCGTACCTTATCACGAGTTAATTGGACCCACCACCAACATTATTTTTTTTTAATAAAACATGAAACGATCACGTGCTTTATTGTTCTGTGATTGTGATAGACCGGAAGCTTTATTGTTCTGTGATTGTGAATTGTGATAGATGTTAAATTTAACATGATTAGTTGATATTAAATTAAACGATGTCAACTTTTTTATTTATAAATAAATTAATGGTTAATTATATTTTCGTTATGTTTTCTAACATTTTCTTTCTATTGTTTATGAATTCCTCAAACGAGAGGATCTATTCTTGTGATAAACACACATTCTCTTAACACTGACACTGAGCCCCACACTTCACCCAATTTTTTTATATTTTTTTTTTGCTTTCTATGCGAATTCGACTCTATGCAAAACGGAATTAACTAATGACATAAACAGTAATTGAGATGAATCCTTTGTGGAACTCAGGAAGAAATGTTGGAGCCAGCAGTGAAAGGAGCCAAGAATGTGATAAAAGCAGCTGCAGAAGCAAAAGTGAGACGCGTGGTGTTCACTTCATCAATTGGCACAGTGTATATGGACCCCAACAGGAGTACGGATGCGGTGGTTGATGAGTCAAGCTGGAGTGATTTGGAGTACTGCAAGACCACCAAGGTTCCATTTAACACGACATTGAACATTGTGTCATATATTTTTTTAAAATTTGACGGAATGCCATGTTCTTTAGAAAATTGAGTAAATATTATTTTTAGTTCTCAGCAAATTATTTTATGATACCTGTTTTAATTCATAGCAAATAAAAAGACACATCGTGGTTTCTAAAAAATTCAAAATGGACTCATTTTAATCCTTTTAGAGATTAATATGGGTCTTTTTTGAATTTGTGAGGAACTACGATTTCAACTAAATCAGTCCATTTTAAATTTTTTAAAGACCACAATAAACTTTTTTATTTATTAGAGACTAAAACAAGTATCCTAAAATTTGGTGAGGACAAAAAAAATATTTACTCTAACAAATTTGTCAAAATATTGCTCTCCAAACTCGTTATAACTGACAACGAGTCTGGTCATATCACGATGGCATGTTTTTTTGAAGCCACCAAACTCGATGCCATGGTGGTCAAAGTGCTTGGTCATTTTCTGTAAAAATATGATAAGTGACATCACGATTCAAACTCGCTACGGGATATAAGAAACAGAGAGAATAAAAATGATGGGTAAATTAAAAGTTATGTTACATTTTACAAAAAAAAAATTGTTATATGATATAACATAATTTTTCTACATATATAATTGAGAAGAAGGAGAAGAATGAAGAGAGAAAAATCAAGGCTTAGGGCTCAAATAAAATTGTGTGTATAGAAAAATTATGTTATATTATGTAATATAACAAACATAAAACTCAAAAATGCAATGTTATTAAACTCAGTCCGGTTATTGAACCGGTCGAGATATTGGGTCACTGGTTCAACCGCATGACCCGGTAAATATATATAAATTTATATTAAAAAAATTATAAATATACTTAAATACCTGTAAAAAAATACACCAATTTTAAATATTTTAATATGAAAAATAAGATAAAGGTTATACTTGCTACCTCTTTTTCTTACTACCTTTTACTATTAAATCTTAATCGTTAATTTCTGCCAGTACCAATCCAACGGTTATAATTTATTGAAAATTAATAATTAATTAATAAGTATGACTTAATAAATTATAACTGTTAGATTAACAGAAATCAATGGTTAAGATTTGATAGTAAGATGTAGTAAGAAAAAAAAGTAGTAACTATAACATCTCCTGAAAAATAATAAATTACATATCATATATTGTCCAACAAAAAAGTAATCAAACATATAATTTTTGTTATACTCATGTTTCAGGTTCAGTAAACGACATTTTCAACTATAAATTCAATCAAAATTCCCTACATATTGCATAACCAAGATAATATTAGCGTTATAAGTACATAATCTATGTAAATTAATAAGCTACAAATCGCTCAAATATTTCAAAAGAAAACAAATAATTTGTGTTTGAGAGTTAAAAAAAAGAAGAAATCAATTGATGAAAATAAATTAGTTTTTTTTTTTTTTGCAAATCGAGCCGGGTCACCGGTTTTTGCGAAAATTGGCCGGGTCACACCGGTTCTGTAACATGACCAATCCAATATGAAAATCGAACCGGTTACATGACCGGTTCATCGGTTTTTGGGTCGACCCGGCCGGGTCGGTCCGGTTTTTATAGCATTGCAAAAATGATATAACTGAAACTGAAACCATAAAGGCCACAAAGTCTGCAGGGTATGACCCACAATATAGTTTCTCTCAGATGCATGATGAGGGTGAAGGTGGGTATTCTGTTCATCATGATTTACCACTCGTTGACGAATAAGATGTTGAGATATATAAAATTATCAATGTAACCTCACTCAACAGTTTAAGCTTTTGAGTTGAATTAGTTCTTTACTTGGTATTAGAGCCTCGGTGTACCGGGTTAGATCCTCACCGCCCCCACTTTATTTCTAGTGGAATTTATTTCTTCGCACAGGTAGGTGGGCTGTGCATCATCCACCATTCGAGCGAGCTCAGTGGACTCTCGTGTGAAAGAATGTGTTGAGATATATAAAACTATTAATGTAACATCACCCAACAGCCCCCAAAAGCTTAAGCTGTTGAGTGAGATTACATTAATAGTTTTATATATCTCAACATGAGATAAGAGAGAGAAAAATATATAATTTTTAAATAAGTGGTTATGATCAAATAACATGACCATTTTTTCACATGAGAAGATCCACTCCCGCTTTTCTCACAATTTCAAACTTATTGCTTCCTTTTAAGTACCGAGACAGTGTCCTCTCTTTCTTTCTAAAGAACTTATGGAGATTATGACTTCTAGACAAATCCATTGAAGCACCAGAAAATCCTATGCTCTCTCTTTCTTTCTTTTTTCCTTTACCTTTCTCTCCTTTCATGATAATATCTCTGTTGAAATTACTCCTTTTGAGAAAGCATTATATATAGAGCTGGCAAAACGGGCTCGACGGGCCAACCCGTCCAACCCGCCAAATGGGGCGGGGCGAGCTGAGTTTTTCAACTCATCTCAAAAGTAGGGTGGGGCGGGACGAGCTCATTTTTTGGCAGGTTGATGATGGGCATAGGCGGGTCACTGTAAAGTAGGCTCGGGTTGGCGGGCTAACCCGCCCAACCCGCCAAACGGGGCGGGGCGGGCTGGCTCATTTTTTTGGCGGGTTGATGGCGGGGTGGGGCGGGACACCCACTTTGCCATCTCTAATTATATATCTTTCTTTCTCTCGTCCTCAAATGGAGATAGATCTTAAACACTGCACAAAGGTGGAGCAGTAAATTTAATCTGATTCATCATGATCACTTTTCTTTATTCATAGCCTGTATCTGTTTGGTAGCAGTAATGGTTAACAGTGCTTCATGGTCTTTATTCTATCTCTCTCTTTCTAACTCGCTATACCCTGTTGCGAGATTGTATTGTGGAGATGATCTTTGATGCATTGGTGTGTTGGGATATTCAAGTGTGATGAGTACCATGAACTCAATATCTTAAGGTTTTAGGTTGAGATATGGTGTCAGACTCAGTTGGTGTATTTGAAGTAGCTTGGTCTATTGGTGGTGGTCCCCCGCAACGAGCTTCCTCCTGGAGCCGCCTGACAGTGGTATCAGAGCCGCCAGGTTGGGCTTGAGCTAGCCTGGTGATTGGCTAGGAAGTGGGTTGAGTACTTGGATCCTGGGGTACTTAGTAGAGGGGAAGCATATCAATGTTGGGTTTCACATTTGAGGTTTTTGATTGAGATGTGGTGTCCGACCCACTTGGTGTATTTGATTTACTTAGCTCATTGGTGGTGGTCCCCCGTCACGGGCTTCTCCTGGACCCGCCTGACAGTGGTATCAGAGCCGGGTTGTGCTCGAGCTAGCGATTGTTGGGACTCATGAATCTAATGCCTTAAGGTTTTGGGTTGAGATATGGTGTCGGACCCAGTTGGTGTATTTGGGATATTCAAGTGTGATGAGTCCCACATTGGTTGGTAATGGGCTAAGTGAAGAGTATATAAGTTGAAGGACTCATGAATCCAATGCCTTAAGGTTTTGGCTTGAGATATGGTGTCGGACCCGGACCAGTTGTGTATTTGAAGTAGCTTGGTCCATTGGTGGGGGTCCCCCGCCACGGGCTTCCTCCTGAACCCGTCTGACATCCATCTCATTTTGGTGCTTCTTTTACTAATTAGTGAAATTTTTAGGGAGATGGATGAAAATACAAGTGAAAGAAAGGAGTATAGTGGAAAAAAATTTTCCCCGTTTGGGCAAGGACCATGTGGCCCTAAGAAGCTTCGACACGGCTTTTTTTTTTAAAAATTTGTGTGTTGGACACCGACATGCTCCGACACGCAATCAACTCTTTAGGACACGTTCGCTATTTTGATACGCGATTTTGATCGTGTCCGACACAGTCAAATGACATAAATGTAAAATTTTCAAAAAAATTATAAAATTAAAATCATTCTAAAATAAAACGAATCAGCGAGTGCAAAACGTTGGCTATCTCTACTTTTTTATTTTTTCTTCACTATATTTTTTAATCCAAATTCAATTTTTAACAATATTACAAATTTAATTAATATTCCTATTTAATCTTTTTTTTTTTAAAAGCCAAATGTCAGTTATATGATTTCATTCTACACTCTATATGGATGTTCTATTATTATTTTCTTTATATTTATGTTTATGTTATAGAATTTGAATATTTGATTAATTATATAACTTATTATGGACTGTTATATGTATTAAATGTAAACTATATTATATATATTAAAAATATTATTTAATATCAAAATATGTTCTAACGTGTCGAAATATGTCATTTTTTAGAATTAACGTGTTAGAGTGTCATATCGTGTCGTATCCTTTGTACCGTGTCAGTTCAATGTAGAGGACCACCATAACTTGTCTCTGTATCGTGATGTCGCATGTCACACTTTTGCATAAAAAGGCTAAGCATTTAGACCACCATACTAGTTGCAATTGGCACTGAGTTTGGTAGCCTCATAAAATGTGCCAGGTGAGATGATCAAACTTGCTTGAATTATAAATGTGATGTTTAGGCAAATTTTCTATCAAGTTTGGTGGCATTAGGAAATGTGCCACTTGAGATGACCAAACTTGCTGACAGTTGTAACAAGTTTGAAGACATGACATTTTGACAAATTTTTTTGGCTAGCGTGACATTCTAACAAATTTTTTTTAAATGAGTGGCATAGTGATCAATGTCCCCCATTTAACTACTCAATTATCAATGCACTCTATAACGTCAACAAGTTGTAACTTTTGTTGGTTATGAATTCATTGACTTAAGTAACAGGCTATCTAATTATTGAAACGAGAAATATTAGTAACATATTTTTATTATTATACAAAATTATATGATACTATGTAGTATGTATCTTTTAGGTAGAACTTCAAGGCTTTGATACCAATCGAGTCATATACGAAACTGGAATGCTAGAAATGGGAGTTTTAATAATTAAATGAGAATATAATATGTATTGGGTATAATAAATGGTTAATTAATCTGCAGAACTGGTATTGCTATGGGAAGACCGTGGCTGAACAAGAAGCATGGAATTTAGCAAAAGAGAAAGAGGTGGATTTGGTTGTGGTGAACCCAGTTTTGGTTCTAGGACCATTACTACAACCAACCGTTAATGCTAGTACAATTCACATCCTCAAGTACCTTACTGGCTCTGCTAAGACTTATGTAAATGCAGCTCAGTCTTATGTAGATGTTAGGGATGCAGCATTAGCCCACATTCTTGTTTACGAGACACCACCTGCTTCTGGTCGATACATATGTTCTGAAAGTTCGTTGCACCGTGGTGAGCTAGTTGAAATTCTAGCCAAGTACTTCCCCCAGTACCCTGTTCCTACCAAGTAAGTGTTTGTTATGTTTCTATTATTGTTGTGATTCCTGAACTCAATCCAAAGAATAAAAAGCAGATACAATTAAATGAAAGATTTTGCTATGCTGTGGACCACAACTTCTAAATTGTATAAGACTTTTGGGGTGGGACATATAATAAGTAGCTACCAGAATTAATTTACTTAAAGTTTATATTAATTTACTTGAAAGTTCAAATAATAGGAGAGGGATGCAAAATACACAAATTAAATCCCAGTAAAAATACTTCCATTAAACTTTTTTTCTTCTAGATAAACTAGAAATGGGTGCACTGAGTTTTACTTTTTATGATAACCCATTATTGATGAGGGATTTTTTTAACATGGACCCGGTGCATAATTCATTGGATGCTCCTTTTTTAAAAATAGAATTTTTTTTTTCATTTATACCTTTATCTTTTTTTAAAATTCCTTCTAAATCTTTTTTTATTTATTTTTGGACAAGTCTCACCAAGGTCGGGATCGCAAAAAATGAGCTCATTGATGAGATGTCCTTTGACTTCTTTATGTGCTCCAACCTCAACACTAAGGAGACTGGAGTCAAATTGAAATCCAAGAATTCAATGATTTTATAGGTAAAATCGAGTGGAGCTCACAAATCCTTACCAAACCCATATCATTGTCAGACACAAGGACTTGAGCCCTGAGTGTATCTGATTTTTTACCTTCCTCTTTTCTTTAACACAAAGGCATGCTTAATTATCTTTTAATAAAAAAAAATTATATATTTTTTTAAAGAAAATTGAGAGGAGGATGGGTTAAGTGACCTGCTTTGATAACTTGCTCAGAAGAATATATATCATATATATTGGGAAACCTACAAGCCCAAGACCAATGCAAAGCTTCTTACATCTAGCATAACTATGGATTTTAAATATTCCTACTAGTCTTTGGCATTATGATATATCCCCTCTTGTTTTGAAATTTTATTACATAGACTTTTATTAGTAACAAAAAATTCTTTTGAAGAGTGAATTGGTGTACCATAAGCTCGATGTACCAAAACATCCAAAAGTGAAGAATTTAGATACTATTACTAACTTATGTTAATAATTTGGGTTTGTGATTCTTACATAATATTTTACTTGTGCAGATGTTCAGATGAAAAGAACCCGAGAGTGAAACCTCATGTGTTTTCAAATAAAAAGCTGAAAGATTTGGGATTGGACTTCACCCCAGTGAAGCAGTGTCTATATGAGACCGTTAAGAGTCTACAGGAGAAAGGGCACCTTCCTGTCCGCATGTTAGTTGTAATTTTTTAATTTTTTTTTAGATAATCTAAAGGTATCTTCACATTCGGCCACCTTATTTTCGGAGTACAGCTCCTAAGCCTAGCTTCTCTTTGAAACAGAGAATGTATTGGACCACTGTTATTGGATGAAGGATGAAACTAATCCTTCTTCGAAGAAGAGAGAGTTTCACCTCTGGCTCCCAAAAAAAATTTCAAAAATTTGCTTTGGGCAAAATTTGAACCCTATTAGTTGTAATTTTTACCTTAAAAACAGTGTATTTTGTGTGGCATTGGGCTGTATATGATTTAAGATGCAAGTGGAAAGGCTAAAAAGTGTGCAAAAGTGGCCCATTAAGGTGTTTTAGTAAGTTGATGGCAAAATTATGCTTTTTCTCACATTTCTTCTGTCATGTCATCACAGGAAGGCACAATTGTGAGCAGTGGGCTGATGTGGCATGCTGTAGGAGCTTTGGATATGACCAAATCAGATTGACAACATCGTTCTTGGCTTTTTGAATTAGTTAAATATGAACTCTAGTTTTAGTTTTGTGAAGGCTGAAGTTAGTTTCTAGTTTTCAAGTTTTCTGACTTTTGTAAGAAGGCACGTGCAAGATTCATTTCTTGGAGGGATCCAAAATTCAGAAAAGCTTTCAATCTTCAATATGTAATTCTGATTAGCTTTTAGAATTCTGAATAGTGTAATCGAATTTGTGGTCTGTACCTCTTGACTCTTACTATTCTGCTTTGTATTTGGTTTATGCAAAGACAATGAATTTTCTTTTTGTTACGAGTTTCTTTGTTGAAGTTGCTGGAATCATGTGTTTCTAATTCTTTTCTTGGAATCTAGATGTATTGGTTGATACCCATTAATTATAATTACTTGTACAACTCAATATTAATTTTCAGTTAGCAATTTCTTGTTGTTTGAAGGCTGTGGGAATTGTCTTTGACATTATTTTACATGAATCGTGATTGAAAAATGAAGATGCATGCTTCTTGTTGATTGAATCTTTAAAATCATGGATGATTTGAAGTGAAAGGTGAGATTTTACATAAACAAATTTGGTTTAATATCTGGGGACAGGTTTCAATTTTCTTGTCATTAGATAGATTTATTTTTATGCAAATTTGATTCTGGGTTTGGAAAAATTCCAAAATGTGCTGTAGCACTCAACTTTCATCAAGAAAGTGCTATAGCAGTAAAATCCAGGAATGCAATATAACAAGGGTAAAACCAAGAATTCCATAATTCCAGTTGTTGATATTTGATTAGTAATTGTTGTAGACATAAATAGAGTTACTTCTATGTAATCAAAACTGAATTTAGTTAGTAGAAATTGAACTTTAAGCAAGAAGACGGATTACCCCTGATTTGGTGGAAGATCGAGAAAAATTGCTTTGTCAAAGAGAAGCAAGAAGCAACAATGAGTGTATAAACTTAGAGAAGAAGAAGCAGCAAGTCAGCAATGATTGACGACCCTGGATGAGCTGCCAGTAGGGTTTTTTCTGTTTTAATTTGAGGGAAGACGTGATTTCTCAAAAATACTCCCGAATTTTTTTTAAACTGAATCAACTCGTTAAACTCGTCGAGTCAACTGAGTTTATCGAGTTGACACGGCTTTCAACCGTTTCAACCCAAAACCCTTTTTAACTATAGAAAGTTTAAGAACACTTACATTAAAACTCAAAAGAACTAAGCAAGGATGTGTTGTTCTTCAAGAGAATTCAAGAATACAACTCCATGATCCTTCAACTCTCAAAAATCGTGGCTGTATGATGGTGTGAGGAACTCGAAAATTTGATCCACACCATGAAAATGATATGGTGGTGAAGAGGAGAGTGAGAGAAACAAATTTAATGAAGAAAATTTGATGGTTTGGTAAAGTTTTGAAGATGAAATCTTATAGAGAAATAAGAGTTTTTTGTCATCAAAACATAGAAAGTAGAAATAGTATGGTTTCGACACTGCGTTTTTACAACACTGGTCAACGATGTCTTTTGAAACAGAATTCAATAGCCATGAAATGCTCAATGTAGGAGAAACTAGAATAGCGTATTTCGTGAAAGTTATTTGAACTACGTGTGTGTGTGTGTGTAAGAGTCTTCATTAGTTTGTGGGGATAGGATATTATCACTGCCATTTTCAAAAGATTATAATAACCTCTCATGGGCTCATGTTTTGAGTTTCTTATGAACTCATGTTCTGAATCATTTGTATTGCTTTTTTTTTTTTAGCAGCTTGTAAATATGAATTTTTTTAAACGGATGATGTCTAAATATATTTAGTTTCACTTTTTTTGTGACTAAGTCTTCTCCATTGCACTTGACAAAAATATTGACCTCTTGTTTTCATTTCAATGGGGATCAAGAGTTGTGCAAAACGTCATTCCAAGAAGGGTAGAAAGAGAAAACTCAAAAAGCTTACAGGAAGGTAGAGATAGATTTGGACAAGGGACTGAACTGGAGAAGGAAGTCTAGCGATTCAGAACAGGAAGTAAGTAACTCAAAACGTTTCTCATTTTTCTCGTCAGTATGTCATCATGACATAGCTCAACATAAAGAGTTTAACTTCACTTCTATATGCAATAACATTGATGGAATCAATCAAAGAATTGATCTGGTATTGATTTTAAAATAAGTTGTGAGTATGATTAAGTATCTCTTGTACCCTATTTAACGTGAAAGTATTAATTATGAGAAATCATAATCATACAAAAATGAAAATAAATATAAAATATTAAATATGATAAATCATAATCATACAAAAATGAAAATAAACATAACCGTTGGATCACGTAATTGATCTAACGGTAAAATTAATTGATAATAACATTGGTAGTAATACTAATTGATTGTTACAATATCTTTTCTCTAAAAGAAAATAAAAAATGAAGAGGCAGAGGAAGCCTACTTCATTGTATAACTCCAACGTGTGGTAGGATTGTAAAAAATGTAACCAGAATATGCAATTTCAAATATGTATGCTCCAATACAGTTATTCCTTTCTCATACCTATTTCTGTCCTCAATGACTTCACAAACTGATTGCTATATTATTCGTCATAAAGAATATAAACTGCAACTATTGTAATATTTTCAATTACACGTCTCTAACCCTATAAAATAATAAAAATGTTATTTTTACATCAAATACAAAAATGTAATATTCAAATTTATTAAATTATGTATTTTTTAAGTTATATAATTTTAATGAGCTGGGTTCATATCAGAATCAGGTTCTGTCTTTGTTTCGGTACTGAGAAAATGCAAGAAAGTAATAACTTTATGAATTTCTTATAATTTTAATTTGCCTAATTCTGAAACTCAAAATAAAATTTAAAAATCAAACCCAAAGATTTAGACTGAGTTAGTCTACATATTTTAAAAAATATAAATTTTGAACTGATATAATTGTCATAAATTAAATATGGATTACATATAGAAATAATAAAACATATGAAAGGAACAATTTGTATTATTATTCAAATTTACACGTAGATGGAAGTAAATAATAATTTTAATTTAAACAATGTATTTGATGTAAAATATTATTTTTATTATTTTTTAGTTTGTGAAAATATATCAATCAAAAGTTAAAAAAAATATAATTAATACTTTTGGTTAAAAAGTATTTTTTGTGTTTGATGTAAAATATTATTTTTATTATTTTTTAATATTTTATTGTTTGTGAAAATATATCAATCAAAAGTTTAAAAAAAACTTAGGCTCTGTTTGAATACTGTTTTCAAAAATAGTTTTTTAGTTTTTAGAACAAAAAAAAAAAAAACTCGTTTGGTAAGGCCTGTTTTGTAAAAAAAGTTTTAAAAACTATAACTATTTTCTTGTTTTTAGAATCAAATTTAGAGAATATGTTTGAGTTATTTTTGTTTTCTGTTTTGGTTTTTAACTTTCAAAATAAAGAAAACATAGAAAATAACTGTTTCCATAATTATTCTACAAAACAGTTTTAAGAACAAAAAAACCAAAACACACTCAAACATACCCTAATACTTTGGGTTTGATTTTTAAATTTTATTTTGAGTTTCAGAATTATATTAAAAAGGAAAAAAGAAGCAAGAAGGAAAATTTATATTTCTCACTTCATGGTGGCGAAAGACAAAGTTAAAAGTGAAAATTAAGAATGACTTTTAAAAAAGCATAAATAATTTGATATTGAAGAAAACAAAAAAAATAGAAGCATCAATCAATGATTCGATATATTGATTTGATTATAGTAATTCCAATCCCTGTGAGAAATGGTCATGTATATGTTTTTTTTCATTAAATCTATTTATTTTCTTTGTCCTTTAAAATTCCATTCAACATGTATATTTACTTTTTCTTTGAAATTTCCATTCAAGATCCAGCAATTCCATTCATGTTGTGAGATAAATTTGATTGGGTCCCACTAAAAAATAAAATATAAAAAAGATTAAAATGGGATTCACCTTGATTTTGTGTGATTTACATGAGAGAAGCTATATCAGATTATACTTACATACATGCTATCACTGAGACCCTTCAGCGCTGCAGTCTTCAAGACTTCAAGAGTCAACACTTGCTTTTTAGTATCGGACATTCTCTTCCAATAACTTATCAATCCTTCGTAGTATTCAACCTTTTATGTACATCAATCCTTTGTACACCAATCCACTTTCATCTTCCCAGTTATCCGATATTTGATGAATAATTGTATTTTTATCGGTAATCCATTCCAAACATGCATAAGATTTCAATGAATTTGTTGTTTTCTTTGTTGTAAATATGAATCATACAATCCATAAGAGTGATGCATCACATCAGAGTGAGCCTCAATTATATAAGCCTGCAGACTGTGTGCATGTTAAGTACTGATATATATTTGTTGGACATTTCAGGATAATTTTTTTAAGACACTATAAACCTATATATAGCTAAGGCTATTTATGCAAACAAATAAAGGTTCTTGAAACGGTCAATCAGCCCTCTAACAATAATTTTATTAATTTAGGGTTTTTGGTATTATTCAACAAAAGGAACAAATTAATATATAATTTGAGAAGAGTGATAAAGTAATAAATCTTTATCTATAGATAAGATAATCTATTGGAGATAATATATGAAATTGTATCATTTGGATAATTTCCTTTCAGATAAATTCAACACTTTCGAGCATAGAAATGACATGAGTAAAATGAATCAAAGAAATGGAATGGTTGAAGTTAGAAAGGAAGTTTAAGCAAAGGGCTAAGGCTATTATATTACACACACACACACGCAAAACCTACTCCCACCCAAAACTAAAACCAAAAGAAAGAAGACTGGTTCAGACATCAAGAGGAACCAACCTGATACATGAGAACTTTGAAAAGGAAAAAGTGCAAGTGACTTGAATTTTGCAGTAGGAAATGTGTCAACAAGATGACCAAAGGAGTATAGGAAGGTTACTAGTTACTATATAGCTGGCACTAGAGCTAGTAACTTCGGCTTTACCATAGGGATTATTAGTCTAGTCTGTTTCTCTTTTAGTATGGTTTGATATTTTGTGGTATCTAAGACTATTTATTACATGGAAGTGATCCAATCCATTCGAGCTATATTACCTCCTGCTTCCAATGGATGGGATGACAACCTGGTGTGGTGTAAGGCGGTGAATAAAGGTAATATGGTCAAGACAGCCTATAACACTCTTATGTGTTTTGAAGACAACAATCCTGACCCCCTTTGGAA